GCGTTAACATATGCATAACATTTATGCATGTCACTGTAAGAAAATTTGAACTTTATTAAGAACGCATTCCGTTTTGTACTTAGAGAAAACCAATTAAATTTCTAAAGGATTTCAACTCTTCTTATGCTAGTAACAACACAATTTGCCTTCCCACTCAAACTAAAATGTTCTTATTAATTGCAATTAAATGTTTTTTCAAATAATTGATATTTAAGACAATTTAATGAAGAAAAAAAGTTATTTGTCGTGACAGTGAAATCTAGAGCGAGGCTGTAATTTTTCATTAAATCTTATCCAATCCTTCTAAAACAAATTATTAAAGCTTTTTTACACAAACAGACTCGCATGATGTCGGGGCAGTCTTCTTAAAATATCACATTATGCAAGTGTGTCTGAATGGGGTCATGTATTCCCGCTGTCTTTAATCTCATTGAATTCGGTGTCAACTTATTACTGAAACTTCGTTTTCATGTGTCATTGCGAAAAGAGTTTTTTTTCTTCTCACGCGACGTAGCGTCAATCGTACTAATACTAAGGGTCCGAATAAAGAAAGTGTTACCGAGATAAGGATTAATTAAATAGAAATGTCTGCTTCACCATATTTATTTGCGCAAATTAAGACATTTTGTTTTAGTTTCAATTGATCATAATTATCACACCAATTCCTATATTGAGATATGTATTTAGTCCTGTTTTAAATTTGAACCATTGCATTTCTAAAAGAACGTACACTGAGAAATAGAAATATGGTCAAAACTACCAGAATATGGTAAATTTAGCATATTTCTAGTTCTAAGGGAACACCAAAGAATACAAACGCTTTGGTAATGATTTTTGTAAATTCAGCAATAAAATATAGTTTCATGATATGTTTGTAAAATTTGGTAAATGAAAAGAAATTTGTTAATTTTATGATGTCTTAGAGCATGGCAAAAAAATCTTTTATTCGAGTTTTATTTTTCAGCTTTTGTATTTCTGCTAAAAGTGTGTTAATACAACTATAATATAATTTTAAAAACCAGAATTTCTTGTAGACCAGTAAAATTACCAAATTGAATAATTTAAATGTCGTATATTTAGGTTTCATTATCAGAATTATGTTTTTTTTAACCATAAATTTCATTATCGTACAGTGCGATAATTTTACCAGAATTTATTATTTTCGTGTGGTAATAGTTTCAAATTATTTAGGCTTGTGTATTTTATTTCCAAGTTATTATACTTGAGAAAGTATAAGTTTGTTTATGTATATCGTTAGCACCATTTTAAGTGCATCATAATTCCTTCCTTCTTGTTAAACAACATAACTTGTTAAATTACATAAAATTGTTGTTTGATATCGCTATCAGGTTAAGTAATAACAATAAATTCCTTTCGCTTTGTATTGTTCCTATAGGCGAAATAACCAGCTTTTGTATGGATTAAAACTGATAATTTTTTTCGTAAGTATTGAGAAATAATTGATATTGTCGTATGGACATCAAAACCAAATTACCTCTGTTGTTCTACATTGGTACAAAATGCTAACAAATCAATATATTTAGACCATCCCTCTTTTAAGCATTTTATTAATTTCATCACATCGAGCCATGCGCTTGCATGCAAGTCAAAAAGCATGCAAGCGCAATTTTACTATTTTTGTTTTAATCTTGTTTTAATATTGGTTTTTCGAATTGTATATTCTACGTTTTTTTAAAATTTAATTTCGATTACTTTCCTATCTTTATCTATTTAAAAAAAATTAAATTAATGTCTTTAAAAATTACCTTAAATAATTGATTGTGAAAATTACAGAAATATACAAACTGTACTGTATAAATCATGCAAAATTATCACCTATACAGCAATGGACATAAAACAAAATTTAAAATGCTTCATTAATCTGGAATAATTTACTTAATGAAGTCGGTGAAATAAGTAGGTTAAAAACTAATGAAGGAAAAAACTATTATAAGTAGGAAGGAAAAAAAACAATTGAATATATGAATGAATATATAAAGAATTTAAGTTTCGTTACAATCATGAATTTAAGTATCGTATGAAAACAATAATAAAAATCTTTTCTGGTATTCTAAAGAATGAGATTTAATATTCAAAAAAGCAATATTCAGTTTCCTAATGAATTATTTATTTTCTTAAGCGTAGTATTTTTTACCATTTTGAAACTTTTATTTAAGTAGAAATTCTTTAACGATATATATCTATAAATTTTATTCCAAAAGCTATGTAGTATTGTCATTTTTATTTATTATTATTTTTTACAACCTTTTGAATCATTGGCAATAAGGATTCAAATATATTAATTTAAAAATTTTTTTAAAAATTTGATGGTTATATTCTCCATTATTAATCGCCTGATCAAAATTCATTTTTCATAATTTTACCTACTCCACATACACAATACTTTTCAAAATACTTTTGTTTTTTTTAAACATCTAAATAAGTCTTTTTCCCTTCATTTCGCAAAAGAAGTTTCAAAAACTGCCGCAAACCATTCGAAATTCCGCCCCTTCAGATTCTCCAAATAACCGCTTTCAGATTTTTTTTCTTCATATATATTTTTTTATCATCTTTCTGAACTATTGTCCATTAAAGGGGGGGGGGAAGATAAAATGAAAGAATATTAAAATTCTGATTGCGTAAGTGCCCCAGTCCCTATTGATAAAGAACCGTTTGGATGTTGCCTTCGGCACACTAAAGAAAGTGAAACAGGTGTGAGGAGAGGAGGAGGAAGGTAGAGTTGGTTCAACAACTTGCTCCAAGGACTTATTTCTTCCACCTGAAATTATTTTTCTTTTCCCGCGTCAACCTGAGCACGTGATCAAAGGCTCGTGCTGCCTTAGTAAACGCAAGCATTTTGCTAGCTACTTCTCTGTTTTATTGCTTTAAAATTATCTTAGCATTTAGTAATATAGAAAGTATGCTATGTGAGGTAATAAAAATACGGGATGTACGTAATTAAAAATCGCTTATTCTACGTGTCAATAACCGTAACTATTCATTAGAATTTGGAATGCTTCTTGATGAAGGCAAGCTGAAGTCATTTCGACCATAAAAAGGAATTAAACAACCGCCACTTAACAGGTTTTGTGTACAGCATTTATTCCAAATAAGTGTTTCAAAAAATAATGCATTTGACCGTCAAACATACTATTTTGCGAATTAGAAAGGTCAACATTCCGAACGTAAATCTATTCTATCTTAAAATGATATTTTGTTAAGCAAACTAATCGATTATTATTTCTCTGGTGGTAATTCTTGTATTATTTTTTTTCTATTTGAGAAAAGCTGGTAAAGTAACCATTTCTGCCAAAGAACCCATTTGAGTTTTTTAAGCCCATTTATTGCGCAGTTACAGAACTGTAACATAACAAAAATCTCTACGGGCTTTTTTGTTATTTTTTTACTTTCTTCCAGGTAATAAGAGTGCCACGACACCAAGGCATTTTAATGAACTTTTATTATTAGTCCATCATCACCCAAGACTTTATATTCAATCTGCTCTTAGCAAAAAAAAGAGAACAAAATCAATAGTATTTTTAGTGACTTTGAACCTAGTTTAAGACTCATTTCATTGTTTTTATACTTGCGTTATTTTATGCAATCGACATAAATTCTTTATTATAGGTAAGTGATAATCAAATGCGGTTTTAGGCAGACTGATAACTCAATAGTTAAATTAGTTCTAAATGCTTTAGTCTATTATTATTATAATTTCTTTTTTTTTATATTTTTGGTAAAAATTCAAAAAAAAAAAAACTTACACACAATTATGCAATATATTTATTTAAAAACATGATGGTTCACAATTTAACGTAATGTAATTATATTGTTGCGTACATTTATGCTTTTTTTTAAAAGATAATTGTAAAATGTAATGCAATACAAAACAAATCCATCTAATATAAATGTAGCATCATAGTAGCATAGCATTTATTAAGTTTATTTATATAAGAGCTCGTACTAATATAAAATGACATAACAGATAAAAAGAATCATTTTAATAAGACGGATGTTGTTGGTTGGTAATTAAATGTTCCATTTACTAAAATTTTATCTAACTAAAAGAGTTTTTGAACATATCTTGATGAGGCATTTCAATTAACTCAAATATCTTTACAATGATCATGTTAATTTTTTAACTTTGCTCTTAAATTTTTTTAGATAAAATCAAAATAATAAAGTATTTTAATAAAGTTAATCTCTTAATGAAGTCGTTATAGCCTTGTAGTCGTTTCACTACTTTGTAATTTATTTATTGTTTAAGTGAGTCACTTCATAATCTGGTTTCTAAGATTATAGTTCTTTTTACCACACAGTTAGTAAAAAATACAAAACAAATTATAAATTTAATTAAATAAATGTTATGCCATGCTCTAAGCAATCATAAAAATTTACCAAATTTAACCGTATTTACTCAATTTTATCATGTATTATAAAACCATATTTTATTGCTAATTTTATCAAAATCATTACCAAAGCGCTACGGTAAAAATTACCGAGATTCTTGATGTTCCCATAGAGCCAGAAACACGGTAAATTTTATCATATACAGGTAATTTTGAACCTATTATTTTTATCTGAGAGGAAGTTAGTATAGTCTTTATCTATTTAATAAGCCCATTTAAAAATATCTTAATTATTTTTTAAAGAGCAATTTTGTTCATCAATTTTGTCTGAAAAGATTTTAAGACAAAAATGTCATAACTAAGCACTTTTCTCTCTCTGTTAAAATTTACTGCTTTAGGAAGTTCATATAAATAACAAATAAAAGCCCAGCAGAAAAAATTTAATAAAAATTATTAAAATGCTTCGAATTCAATTGAAAGAATAAACAACAATTATAGAATCGTAATGAATATAATTACAAAACAAATTGTTGAAAAATACGTTTTATATATAAAAAAAATGTGAGGTGATGTATTTGTTTGAAAAATATTAAATATAATTGCTTTCAGTTATTTTGTAACTTATTTTCTTATTTTTTTCTTTTGTTCTAGATCCAGAAAACACTCAAATGTTTACATTTACAGAGAAGCAGAGATACGATGGCTGGTATAATAATTTGGGGCATCCAGAATGGGGCTCTGTTGGTACGTTACTGACCTTCTTATAAACAAAATTTATCAGTCATATGAATAATTGAAAACTTTATTTCAATTTTTAATCAAATCTATATTCTTCTGACAATTTAAAAATAAAAGGAATAATTACAGTGAGTTTTAAACTTATTTAATATATAACTTATATATGCCTTATTTAATACATATAATTTATATAGTCTTATACTGTTTAATTGACACTACCGCTAGTTACTTTCAGTATTTTTCATCAATAGCAGGCAAAATATAGTACATCAATGCAATATAATATAATAACGTGGCTGTTGCGCCCGTGAAACTGCTTTCATTCATTTCTGTATCAAATATAAATCCAAAAAAGGGTAAATTTATCCTTTTGAAACATTATCATAAACAAAAAATTTAAGAGTAAAATTTTGATCACTGCATCATATTTTTTAAAAAAAAAAAAAAAAAAAATTTAGGTGAAACAATTGAACAAATGCATCTGGGATATTACAAGTTAAAATCATCCTTGAAACAACACTGGATTCGAAATTTTAAACAAAATAACCAATAAAATGCCCCGATTCCGTGAGACATTGATTACTGCAAAGAAAAATCTACTTAGATTAAGTGTAGATATAACAAAATTATGTTGTTTGCTAAATTATATGATATGATTCCTTGATAAAACAAGACATTTTTAGTTATGCAAAAGTTTATTAGTTAGAGTACGTCTCCCAAGAAAAGCAAGGCATGCTATTAAAACTAATAAATGAGTCTGATTTTAATATTTTAATTTATTTAATATTTTTTTCGTTGAAATTTAAGAGGTCCAAGAGTAAAAGCAGCTCTAAGACTCTGGGTCAAAAAAATTAAAATGTTTGCAGACTTTATTAAACTTTTCAGTTTTCTTAAATGTCCTTAATTTTCTTAAATGTATTTAATCCTTTATTTTCCAAGTCACAGTTTTTAATGATATTGATAATATTAATATTTAGTATTTTAAAATCAACTGGAAAATTACTTTTAAAAATTTTAGCCATTAAACCTTTTTGCTTCATTGAAAATCTTGAATAAATTGAATTGTTCATTGTTATAAATTTGAAAAACTTGAATTGTTCATTGAAAAAATTAGAAAATATAAAATCTTTACATTTAGTGATATATTTCAAGAAACTATGAAGTATATAGCAGTACTAAATGTTTAATTTCAAAAAATACTATATATTTTTAGATTCTACACTAAGAATATAAATTTTAATTGTTTCACTTCTTTCGGTTGTTCATATTTAATTCCTCTTCTTATTTTTATTTATAACTTTTAAAAAAAAAAAAATTTAAAAATTATTTTTTTATGTATGAAAAGGAAATAACAAAAAAAAATTCTGATCAGTGATACATAAATTAACAAAAATTTGGTTTGCATTTTTTTATAGGAAATAAGCTTTTCCACGGTAAAAATTATACAATGAAAAAGTATGATAAGAATATAGTAAAATTTACTGTGTCTCTGACTTTATGCTGACACCAAAAAGCTCGGTAATTTCCCACAGTTTTTGGCAATGAATTTCGTAAAATTAACAGCAAAATATGATTTTATAATACGCTATAAAATTTGATAAATGTGGTGAAATTCGGTAATTTTATCATATCTTAAGGCATAAAACCATTTATTCTTTTAAATTTCTCTTTCTGTTTTGTATTTTTTGTCTAAATGTTTTGTAATAAATACTATAATTTTGAAAACCAGAATTTCCGGTAAACTGATACCATATGAACTGAAAAATTATCAAATAAATAATTAAAATACCATATGTTTTGGTTTTATAAACGTTTTATAAATGTATATTATGTTTTTTTGTTTGACCGGAAATGTTATTATACAGTATGTATTATAATATATATTATATATATGGAAATGTTATTATACAGTACCTATTTATAAATACAGTATGGTAATTTTAACATAATTTTTTCTCCGTGTATAAATTTTAATTCCTAAAACTCCATGTTTCTTTCCTAAACAGGGACTACTTAAATTTTAAAATGCGTTTTTTGTACATACGATATATTTTTTAATTCATTCTATTTTAAATGTTTCGATAATATTAATAATGGCGATTATTTTGTTTTCACCAACTTCTTTCTTTTTATGGAATATTTTAAATCTTCAAGCTATTCAACGTGTTTTTATTTAGACTTTGATGGAACTTGAATTCTCAAGAAAGTTTTTTGTTTCTTGTATTAATATCTTATGATGTTTTTTAGAGAGTCAGCTGACAAGGAAAACTCCAGCTTTTTATTCGGATGGTGTATATATGTTAGCAGGAGAGAACAGACCTAGTCCCCGTAAGCTCAGTCAAGCCATCATGAAGGGAGAAGATGGATTGCCATCAATAAGAAATCTTACAGCCTTTTTCACATACTTTGGTATGTTTTTTACAGTATATAGTATTTACTAATGTTGATTAAAAAAAAGTTTCAAAGTTTAATTTAAAGTGCCCTTTAAAAATAAAATAAATTTGAAAAAAGGTCTTCCAAAAGCGTACAGAATTTATATTTCATTACAAAATATATAGTCTGACATAACAAATGCAGCCAACAAAACAAAGCAAAAAAAAATTTCGTATATTTCTCACTGTTAAACCAAACAAAAAAATTTTTTTTTTAAAGAAATAACTGGATTTTTAATTTTATAAGTCTAATATACGGCTTTTATCTAAAAGTTTAACTTTGAAAAAGAATTTTTCCAGCGTGATATAAATTTTTATGTTGATCTCTAAAAGTGATATCTATAAAACTAGCTTTTACAGCTTTTCGGAGTACTTTGATTTTAATTTTGACTACTACCAATATGTTTTCAAAATTATCTACGTATTGAGATTTAGTAATGATTTTAAATTTGTTCGGCAGCCTTTAAGTCAGGCAAACCAATCGAGTATAAGTTTAGTAGGCCACAGAAATAATAAAATTATGCCCATCTCTGTGGGAGATAAGATAGAAAACCGTTTACGTTTAAAGTTCCTACATTGAAAGATCAAAAATAAATCTAAGTAACTGTTTCGGAACTAAGTTTGTATTTTTATATAAATACAACATCATTCTAAACAAACACTTAACGTATAACTAACTATTCAACACTACTTAAATTATTACTAAACACAACATTATAAAATGAATCTAATTAAATACTTAGCATTTAGCTAATTTTTTAACGCTACTTAAAACAACTGAACAAAATAAATTATTATAGATGACTATAGTGTTGTCCATTTAGATACAGAAATATCCACAATTCGCACATAAGAGAGAAAAAATAGCACGTAAAAGAAATAAATACATAAAAGTTCTATTCTTCTAATGTTAGTTTAAAGGAAAACAAAATGTTTTGATTACTTAACATGGAATAAAAGAATTTGCAATAATTGTATTCTCGATAATAAAAACATATGGCCTTTTTGGAACAAAAAAATTTTTAAATGCTAAATGATTTAAGGTTAATATCGATGATAAATTCAATATCGATGATAAATTCAATATTTATAATTAAACCAAATTAAAGACAAAAGTGAAATATTAATCTTATACTTCTAGGAATGCTAATTGATAAGTTAATTTAAAATTGATAATTTATAATATCAATTTTGGCACATCCCCCAGCATTTCTTTGCTATTGTATAGATATTTTTAGGAACTATATATTCGAAGAAAATATTTTTTTGCAAAATTTTTGCGAAAAATATAAATCTTGTCTCGATATTTTTAATATATATATTCAGAAAACAAAGAAAATCTAATAATCTTAAGAAAGCATTATTGCATTTTATTTCTAGCAACGAAAACAAATGAAACGAAGCAGATAACTATCGTTCAAGCGTTAAACTGCTGGGCTGAACTACATTATTAACAAACGCAAAAAAAAATGAAAAAATAAACTTTGGAAAGCACATTAGATTTACATTTTACTTTCACCGAAAGCTATAAAACGTAACTTATCAGATAATGCGCGTGCATGAAAGCTTTCAAGCCGTCAAGCTGTTGAATTAATAACATATTTTACTGAAAGTTTTAGATCTTTATAGTTTAATTTTAGATTTCCACGGCTATATTCCAGGAACCAAGTCATTGAAACTTTTGGTATTTTAAACCAAACAGATGAAGGTGTGGTAAGCTGTCTGTATCTTGGCCAAGTTTTGAGTGAAGAAGGTGGCCACCAGCCTCGCTATATGTTAGAAACAGACGAATTTCCCACTTTCGGAAGTGAAGTAAATGGCAGTGATTTTGTGAGATAAAAGCCATTAATTATGGCTGGTAAGATTGAGATAAGAACGGTATAAGAAAAAAACTTTGTTGATAAATGAACAAGATTTACCTCTTGAAGTATATTTGTTTTTACTAAGAGTTTCAGACAATGCTGATTAAAGAAGCTTTTTTCTTCAACTTCTGATGGATAAATTCGGAGGTTAACTGCCTGGGAGTGGCAGAAAAAAATTGTTCGTTCCGATTTTTGCAGTTCGAAAAGTTGCATCATTAATTCTAAGAAACATTGATCCGCACCTGCTTACAATTGAAAATGAACAAAATGTATTTTAGGAAACTTTCGGAGTTGCTTGTGGCCGGAATATAACTTGCCAATCCTCTTGATTTTATTTTTGCTGTAGAGACAAAATTAATGCATAGAATAAATGTGAAATATAAAAGCAAAAGACAGAAACTTTGAGCCCTAATTGCTTGTTATTTTTAAGTCTATCCTTAACATTTATCTGCTATTATTCATATTTAATTTTTTATAAATATTGTACAATTTTTTTCAAGTTTTTAATCTATATAAAATGTGCTTGGGAAAATTATAGTGATAAAATTCATTATAAAATTCAGTTTTTCCCCACCAGTATTCTCACACTTTTTTTTCATGTACAGTTGGTTATCTTTCAAAACCATACTCTTGTCACGGTTTCCAAAATGTTGTTACATAAAATAATGATTGCATGCTTTTTTAACAAAATGTTCTTGTTTTCGTGGAAAGTATCGACTAAGAATGAAATATAATGACGAATGAGAAAAATTACGGAAGTTGGTACGCGGAAGGAGTCTCATAGTTCCACACTGTAAAAAATTATCGTTCTTCTTGCAGACTGGTTCTTTTGCACTATATATTTTATTTCATAACCGTCGTTAAACCGTCGACCCAAATTTTGAGTTAACGACTACCAATGCTGAACTCCGTAGGCTTGTAATTTTGAAAACAATCTGAAAGATAAGAGAACTCTTGGATCAAGTATAGGGAGAAATTTGCCTTTTTGAAGGACTTTTTGATAAGACACAAAAACACATTCGCTTTACATGGTGAGAAAAACCTCGAAAACCTCACATGGTTAACCTGATGGCTAAGGAACTCTAACCCATAATTCGTCTACCACTTAGGGTATTTTACGGCAGTGTGGCCAGTGCAAGCCGGGTGCCGAATTCGAATCGAGCAACCATTGCTGGAATTCAAACTCCAGTCACCTCATTGGAAGGCGTACGTTCTATCCCCTGAGCCACCACGGTTCTCCCCAAAGGTATTAATTTGTTATGGGAACTTAAAGGACTTCGTGACCTCGACAGATGTAACACGCACCTGTCACCATTTAATTCACGGTGATACTTCGGCTGGCTGGAATTACCGTTTTCACGAGCACGAGTCCAACGCCTTACCAACCAAATTATCTCGTCATCACTATATATTTCACGGTTTGAAGGCTGTTTTATTGACAAAAAGGATTTTTTCTGTTTTTTATTCTAAGCTTTTATTTACCAGCAATTATTTTATAGCTTTGAACATCGTATAAATAAAACTTGTGATTTTATTTTATTGTTGCCTTGATTTTTATATTTCCTTTGATATAATTTTTTGGTACGTTATGGTTCCATAAATGTTTATACGGGTTAGCCACTACAGTTTTAAATATTTTAAAACTTAACTATTATAGCAATAAATAAGAAATTTAATATAAAAACAGATTTTTCTTCATACTAAATCTAAGCTGCTGTTTAGATGACAGAGAGCTCTTCTCCCAATCAAGTAACCCAGGTTCTAATCCCAGCGTCGACTGGTCATACGACTGCTGGCCGCACTGACTAAAATACTGAAAGTTATTTTACAGAATTTTTTTTTGTTAAAATAATTGCTTGTTAAAATGACAATACTTATCTGCTGAAGAAACAAGAATCTTTTTTTCAAAAACAGTATTTTTCTGTGAAAAAAAACAGCTTTAAACTGGCACACCAGCTGACAGTTTCTTTTTTCCGTAAATTTATTATTTAACAGAGTATGTAAAGCTTACTAATTTTTTTATAAGAAAAAATTTTTTCTTCTCTTTTTTACTAAATTGTAACTAACACGTTTTTCTACTAAAGCTTTCTATGAATAAATCTTTTCAAAAAAGCTTTTAACATATGAGGAGAGATTCAAGACTGAAAATTTAAGCGTTTTAACTTTCAAGTCGTTAGTCATGAAAAAGCTTATTTCTAAACATTTTGCTAGCTGACAATTGAAGAAAAATGCAATTTTCAAGAAAATAGAAACCTTTACATATTCACATCAAATATCTGAAATGATTTAGAACAATATAATAAACCACATTTCAAAATTATTTCGAAAAGCGTGATAAAATGCAAAAAGATTTCGATCTAAGCAGAAAAATATTTCCGTGAACTCTATTTTACACACATTTGTGAAGTACTTATCAGAAAACTATTATGAGGAACATTTTTATGTAAAAATAACACCTTTTGGAGAGAGAAAAATGGGGTTTGTCCCTATAACTGTTCTAAGCTCTTCTTACAGTATTACTTGATTGTAAAAGACTTTTACGAAAAGAATATTTTAAGAGAAGAAAGACCAACGAAATTGTTTAAGAATTGACGAAAATTATATTTCTTATTGTTTTATTGATTAGTTTTATCTCTGATTGTACTCATCGATTCGTGGCACATGAATCTCTTCAAAAACGGATACATTAATAATTTATATATCTTGATGATAGATTCTAAACTGTTTAGCGCCTTTGCCACGTAATCACATCAATTACAGCGGCACCCAGATCTCCGATTCTTAAGATTCGTGACTTCCAGTTGTTTGTCCTCTATTTCGAAGCATTGTTCGAGTAACAACCGATTATCAAAATAACTTTTCTCCTCATTTTTCTTTTTAATTTACCCATTCTGGCACGAAAAGAATGAAAAAATTCCAACACTTTTTTTCGCGTAAACATCACGTAATCAAACAATTCCCTCCTTGCGTCTCCCATACAGGAAGTGGAAAAAAATTTGTGAATCAAGCGAAACACGTTCTTCTATTTTCTTTAGAGAATGAGAAAATCAGAACGAGAAATGTAAGATGTTATCTCATTACACATAAGTTGATTTTTTTTAAAAGCCAAACTTATATTATCTTTTTTTTTCTTCCTAAGAACTTATCAGTCATATCTAACAGGGAGATGAGTTTTAGCTTTAGTAATAATAACTGACATTTTGTTCGAAGAAAAAAAAATAGTATAAAGGTTAACCATTGATTTTTCTGGTTATTTTGTCATCGTTCAAATTATACGGTAATTTAGTCTGAATTCTTTTGTATAGTACATCACGTGTGGTCTTGGAAATATAAGTAAGGCATAAAAATCCCTATAATTTCTTTCTCTTAATATCGCTGAAATAAGTAAAAGGAAAATATATGATTAAAAAAAGTTAAATAATAAAAAGGTTTAAAATATATGATTCAAACTTGCGTAGAAGAAAAAACTTAGGTGGAGATATGCTTCAAAGATTACACGGTTTTAACTCGAGCTCTGGTTTGGATTCGTTTACTGAATAAAAAATGTTTCGAGCTCATGCTAGCTCGAACTCATTCGTCATGTTCAACTTTTCATTCTCATTCTTCATTTTCAACTTTTCATTCTCATTCTTCATTTTCAACTTTTCATTCTCATTCTTCATTCTCAACTTTTCATTCTCATTCTTCATTCTCAACTCATTCTTCATTCAACTTTTATTTAGCTTAAGAATTTTATTGTCTATTTTATTCATTTATTTATATCGACTAATTTCCTACTAGTTCGACTAATTATTACGATTCATTTTAAGCATCAAAGAATGAGCAGTAAAACCGCAAAATTTGATGTTTATCCGACGTATATCACGGCGGGTAATCACGGCGACGTATATCACGGCATCTAAGTAATCGTATATATCACGGGGATCGAATAAAATTCTTTGGGGTAGGACCTTCGAAAGTGAGTCAGAGTTCATTTATAGTTTGCATTACACAGCATAGGTCGGTGTATAAGAAGAATGGCATATAAGCTATACAAAAAAGAATAAAAAGAATATCATCTAAGTCTAATTGGGCAAAAGAATAAGTCGAAATTTGACTTTAGAACTTAAAAGTTTATTAGTAAGACATTATTAATTACCCTCAGGCCCTCCGATTATTCAAATACAATAAGGTCCATTATGGAAATTTCCTTAAGATTTTCATACTCTATGATTAATACTACCGAAATTTGCAAATTCGTTAAATCCTTCATGAGGCGGTGGGAAGTATACTTTCTACCAACTTCATGAATTTTTAACTTCGACTTCTTATCTTACCAAGAATGCCATTCTATGACTCTATCTTAATGATTTGAGAGGGGAACCTCAAATATGATAATTAATGCAGACGTTATAAGTTACGAAATCGGACACAAAAACTTACTTTCTCTGACTTAAAAACTTTTTTCGACAGGTTTGGATTTCTGACCCCCAAAATATAGGGGGCAGCCGCAATCGGGAAAATATGGTTCTAATAGTTTGGTCAGAAAAGCTGCCCAAATTTTGGACCCCTTAATGTTAATTTTACTTTTTGCTTATTTTGACACAGCTCGAACTTTTTAAGCGAATTGAAAAAATTGTGCACACAATTACAAAATTCATTTATTCTAACATAAGTTCATAAAAAAACCTTTAGTAAATATTTATTATTTTTTATTAGTTTATTTAATAATACTCAAAAAAATTTCTGAAATAAATTTTTAATGAGATTTTAAAGAATTAAATTTTACTAGGAAAAATACGAAATTTGAGCAAAATCAGCCGAATAGTTCCTGAAAAATCAAATTATAAAATACGACTTTTTTAAAAAATTTTATTTGCTTTTTCTTTTTATCGCTCTTCATAGTATTTTTATTATTTATTTTATGAAGAAACTTTGTCCATCTGTCCTAGACCTACCCTAAAGTAATAATCAGTTTTTAAATACCTATGTAACATCATATATAAGTAATTAAAAATTTAGAGCCATTATTCTCCAAAATTTTTAATACTTTATCCAAGCATTTGAAAAACATCTTAAAACATGTAATATATTTTTAGGTCAAGTTGTGACTTCTGAAATCTTGATGGCTAGTGAAGCAGGCTGTCCAATCGAGTTGCACAAAATTGAGATTGATACATGTGATGACACCTACGACAAAACATGTAGGGGTCATAAGTATATGCCTTTTCATAGAGCTTTATATGATTCAAAAACTGGCCAATCACCAAACAGTCCAAGAGAACAAGTAAGTTATTAAAATATGTTTATTATTAATGGAAATATTTTTTTATATATCTAGTGTTCTTGGATGCTTCAAAATGAGAAGAAATTTAATAAGTTTAACCCTTGATAGTGGCCTTTTTTTACTATGCTGTATTAAAATACTTTCTGTTATATAAAAAAAATTCAATCAGCTTATTACGCGAAATTAGTTTGATTTTAAAAAACTTTTTTTCGTGGGAAGGCAAGTAAATTTTTCAAAATTTTGCCAACTGTACCATAATCTTGAACTTAAATTGGCAACCGAGTATAAAAATTCAATGTTTACAACTACTAATACACTGAATAAGAAATTATTAAACGAATGAACACTTAACGCCCAAGAGACAAAAGCTGCTCAGGGTTGGCCTCTCTTCCTGATCCCACTCTAACTACTACTATTACCCTCATTTTTGTAAAAATAATTTTCATTATTATCATTAATAATAATATTATTAATAATGTTATTAATTATTATTATTATTGTTTAAAATATTAGTATTAATAATATTTCTATTTTTTTAAACTATCAGCAGATACACTGTAAAATTTGGATACTCAAATTTTACGAAAATTTCTTTGCTTTTGACGAAAGTTTTTTACGGAACGAGCATTTCGTCAAAGTGACGTAAATAATTATCGTCACTTCTTCGCATAAACTAATTTCTTCAAAAATATAAAAATATATCGCCATTCTATTTTTTCTAATAAAAGAAGAAAAAAACATTGTAGAGCTAATGCGTCTAACTTTTCTAACAATGACTTTATCATGGGCACCATGCAGATGGATCAATGGCCCCCCGACACACAATTAGGACAGAGATGCATTACACTCATGTCCGAAGCGGGATTCGAACTAGGGTTCTTCCTGGTTCGAGCCATGCAAAACTAATTCAGATTTACAGATGTTTTGACTTTAGCAAATTAAAAAAAACTTTTTGGGCAAAATGTTTGTTTTTTTTTAAAATTATGATTCAGTTGATTTTTTTACTTAAGATTCAGTTGCTTTATTATAAATATACAAAAATTTGCTGAAGGATTGTTACTTAGGCATAAATAGGTAAATCTTGGGAGATTTGCATTTTAACCCTTTGAGGCAGAATTTTTATTCAGCATATTTTCATACTTTTTTCCTTATTTTGTACTAATTAAGGTCAAAATAAGGGAAAAAATACTATATTTAGCTTTTTAATAATTTATAGATACGAAATACGGCATGGAACACCGGTGTCTTTTTTTTTCTGCGTTAAAAGTAAAATTTTCCAGACATGTCTCACTTCCAAAACATAATTTTTTTCAAATTTTCCCTTATATGCAGTTATTTAGATCAAAGACAAACAATTATTCAGTATTGTTTTTTCTTTTTCATTTACAAAACCAGCTATTTATAAATTTTTAAATACGAGTGAAATAAATTTTTTTTCAAACTATTTTTTGGGATTTTATGTTTTATCAGAAATATAATTCCGATAATTTAACATATTTTTAATAAGTATTAGACTCTTTTTCATTACTGAAAACACCAAACTATACTTTTACTTGAAATTAGAGCATCAAGAAAAAAAAATTAAAAAGAAAACTGGTTACCCGTTTGTAACAAAGGGTTTAAGTTCTACAAATATTTATTTTGGAAACATCAACTGTGTTGGATAAAAATTACTTTCGTAAGAAATTAACCCATTATATTTAAGAATATTTACGTAGAATTATGAATTAGTCTTCTTTTACATCGCTTAGATGTCCAAAAAAGTTCTTTTCCCTCTTAGAAATATTTAAGAAATGATAAAATATTTATATATTAAAAATCTTATGGGTGTGCTGACTCCGACTGATTTTTAAATGTACTATTCTGAGTTTCCTAACTATTAATTAAAAGTGTATGGAGTTTTCATTGTTGTGCTCTTCAATTATTATGTTTGAATAACTAGGGTGCTGAAGTAATCTTCAATGTCTAACAGTGAAAAGAGTAATAGTTTATCTTCTCACCATTGAAAGTTGCAATTAGATGACAGCGAAAGCTTTTGTTGTCGCTTCCTGGTTTCTCACGAAGAAGTCGATCTCAAAACCTACTTACGCAATTCGCATTTTTGCCATCTTCTTCCGCTATTTTCTCGCTGAACTTTTAATTACCAATTTATTCACTCGTAACTTTAAAAATTTTATATTTTCAGAAGCAGCATATTTTCAATTTTAAAAATGCCGGAAGATTTATAAAAAAAAAAGTTCTCCTCATTCCGTAAAACATCATTTCAGTCATTGTAATTTTTTAAAGGAGAGGAAAATCCCTTTATTTTTATTTTCCCTCTCTTTTTTGCTATTTTATTTTATAACCGTCGTTGAATAGACTACCCAATTTTATGGGTTTACGACTACTAATGTTCAACTCCGTAGCGTTGTAATTTTGAACCCAATCCAGAAGGCAAGGAAACTCCTGGATCGAGTATTGGGAGAAATTTGCCTTCGTGGAGGACTTTTTGATGGAGCTAACCCGCATTTGCGTTACATGGCGAGGAAGACCACGAAAACCTCCCACGGTTAGCCTCACGGCAAGGGGACTCTAACCCATGATCCGTCTACCACTGAAGATATTTCACATCAGCACTGAGGTCGTTGCAAGCCAGATGCGGAATTCGTATCTACTGGAATTCGAACCCGGTTCGCCTCATTGGAAGGTGAACGCTCTATCTCCTGAGCCATCGCAGCTCATTTTTGCTATTGGAATAATTTCATTTTTTTTTTCATAAATAAAAGTATACAATGTCATCAAATTAATACGACTTTCTGCTTAGTTCCATAACTAGCTCTGAAACGGCAAACACTGACATATATGCTTGCACTGGCATATATGCTTGAAAATAACAATAAAAAAGGTATCTAAAAGGTATTATAAATATAATTACATGTCTCTAAAGATTTATCACATTATAAAAGGAATATATATCAAGTGGTACGTAAAAATTTTTAAAGGCTGAAAATTCGGTTTCAATTGTTTCGATCATTTCTTAAATAGGTAATATAAATATGTTTATGCATTTTTGCAAAAAATTTTATTTGTGTAAAATAGCTTGATTTGGCAAATACAAAGCGTCTTTTTTTATCTAAATAGTTTCTAAGATAGGTTAAGATAGTAAAATTTAGACATGTTCCAACTGAAAAGTATCGCGTTTTTTGACTTAGAAGCTTCTACTATCGCTCAATTTAAAGTTCTATCTATTGAAATTGAAATTTATATCAATAAAAGAAAAAATTTCCCCCGATTACTTTACAATTTAAAAGAAAATATTTAGCATTTCATACAAAATTTTTAAAGTCAAAGCCAACTAAAACAGATAAGTTTTGAAACATAGCATGTGAAGATTCTGTCAAAAATTTTAAAGTCATGAAAATAGATTAAATTATGTATATCAAAATTAACTTAATTATGATCATTCTTATTTAAACTGTTAATGACATCTTTAAAAATTGAACATAAGAAATAGAACAGTTCAAAAACTTAACGATTGTTTTATCATTTAAAATTATCTATCACCACCATTTACCATTTTTTTCATTGAGGTAAACAAAATATTTTTGAAAGGACCACAAAGAAACTAAGAATTTGAATTTTTAAAAAAAAAACGAATTCTTATAACCTAATTATATTTTGTTTAAAATGATGCATTGCTATCTATTAATTAAACAAGTTGAACCCTAATTTTCTCTATGCATAACTAAAACATGCTTTTCAAATGCGATTAAAATAAAAAAACTATTATTATTTTTATTTTAACATAATTATTATTTGACAAAAACGATTATTTTTTTTCTTTTCTGTAACAACTCTTCATAAACTTTATAATTGTATGCAAGATATTGGCATTTGCAAACTTTGCTTTTTATTGATTAAAGAACTAATTTCAGGACCATAAGAGTAATTTTTTTTTAATTTTTTTTTTATTTTATTTAAACGACTTAAAACTCCTTATGCACCAGAAAGTATAGCATGAGGCTTACAGTTGTAAGTAGAAAACAAAAGGAGAAAAATTTACAAATTTACATTAAAAACAAAATTCCGCAAGGCCGCAAGATATATAATTATTAAGATAAGAGATTATATAATATTATGTAAAAATAATAATCCCTTTCTTTTCATAACTTAACCAATTCATTATTTTTCAATTTTCTTAAAAATTACTTTCAAAATAGTTATCTGAAGAATAAAACATCCCGAGTCTTATTAGAAAACAAATAATTATGTAAGTAACTATTTGTTAATGTTCACAATTTTGAAAAAGATTAAGTACTAATAATTAACAAATATTTAAGAAAGATAACTGAATGAATACTAGTTTTTGGAATAACTTTATTAAAAATTATATGCTTTAACTGGTAACATCATATTCTTCCTGCTTTTTAAGCAGTCACGTTTTATTTAAATAACGTCGCTTGAAAATAAATTATTACTTCATTCATTTCAAGACCATAAAAGTAATAGGAAGTCGGTACATTAAATTCACTTTTGCTGGCCCTATTTTTAATTCAGTAGACTCAATTTAGGAGATATAATTATCACTTTAGAAAAATAATAATTCTTTTCATTTCATAACTTTACCAATTCATTATTTTCAAATTTTTTTCGAATTACTTTCAAAATAGTTGTCTAAAAAATCAAACATCTCGAGTCTCATTAGAAAAGAAATAATTATGAAAGTAACCGTTTGTTAATGTTCACAATTATTCACAATTTTGAAAATAATTAAGAACTAATAATTAGCAAATATTTAAGAAAGATATTAATGATTAAATACTAATTTTTGGAATTACTTTATTAAAAATTAAATGTTTTAATTGGTAGCATCATATTCTTCCTGCTTTCACAATTGTTCACAATTTTGAAAATAATTCAGAACTTATAATTAACAAATATTTAAGAAAGATATTACTGATTAAATACTAATATTTGGAATTAAAAATCAAATGGTTAACTGGTAACATCATATTCTTCCT